TGTAACCAAGAGGTTGATGCATAAACACTTCTTCTTCTAGAAGTCCATGCAAAAAAGCATTTTGAACATCCAGTTGTCGGAGAGACCAACCCTTAGACACTGCTAGAGACAATATGAGTCTGATTGTTGCAGCTTTCACCACTGGACTAAAGGTGTCTTCATAATCAATGCCATAGCGTTGTTTGTATCCTTTTGCTACCAACCGTGCTTTATACCGATCTATTGAGCCATCTGCTTTCCTCTTGATTTTATATACCCATTTGCATCCTATAATGTTCTTGCCTTTGGGGGGTGGTACTAAATGCCAAGTCTTGTTGTTTATCAGGGCAGAATGCTCATTGTTCATGGCGTCAACCCATCTTTGATCACCAAAAGCTTCTGCTAACGTTGACGGTTCCTCGGTATCTGCACCGACCACACCAACCATTCCCCAACGAACAGTGCCATCAGTGTGTATCTTGGGTTTGGTTATACCTTGCTGAAGCCGCGTAGTTGGACGATGAGACACTGTGGTAGACGCTGGAGGTGTATCACCATGCTGTTGATGATGCAGAACCGCACCAGGATCCACCGGAGCACCATCCGCAATGGATCCGAGTGAAAGATTGCGTGGGGCCAGCTCCCCGGCGCTCGGATCCTGCTGTGCAGCCACACCAGCAGATGACGAGCCCGACTGCTGCGGCGAACCGATGGACGGCGACGGTGATCCCAAAGGAGACGCAGTGGAATGTGCCAGCGCAGGCGCGCCAGTGCTGTCGTTTTGCGCCGGGTACATGAAATAAGGCCTGGAAAGACCGTTTTCAACTCCAGTTGCTGCCGAATCGGAACCTGCAGAATTCTGGACATCACAAGACCTTGGCACAGTATTAGTAGGTAGAGAATTAATCAATGTTTGATCATGTAGTGTTGCATCCCCAAAAGATGAACTCGGATTTTTTAGGACGTCAGGTAAGAGGGAGAGTTCGGCTCAAGTCGAGCCCGAAAGATTCGGATGAAGCCGAGAGAAAGGAAAACACTCTCATCAAAAGTGACATCTCTTGAAATGTAGATTCTCCCCTCGGAGGGATCCAAGCATTTGAATCCCTTGTGCAAGTTACTATAGCCAAGAAAAACACAACGTTTGGACCGAAATTGAAGTTTCCTTGAATTATGCGGCCTAAGGTTGACCATACAAAGACACAATAAAGGATCTGAGGAAGTTGTAGTCGGGTGGAGAGCCATGTAGGCGTTCATAGGGTGTGACATTCAGTAAAATTTTGGAGGGAAGCCTATTGATAAGAAATACGGCGATCGAAAAGGATTCATCCCAAAATTTAAGTGGCATAGATGCATGTGCCAAAGAAAAGATAACCCTACTTCAACAATATGTCGATGTTTGCACTCGGCAGAGCCATTTTTTGTTGATGGGCGTGAGGACATGAAACATGATGGGAAATGCCAAGATGCTTGAAGAAAGTGTTGAGGGTTTGATACTCTCCACCCCAATCGGATTGTACAAAGAAGAATTTTTTCGATCAAATTGACGTTCGACCATACTTTGGAAATCACGAAAACATTGGAACACTTCGACTTATAACGCAAAAGGTAGATCCAAGTAAACTTGCTGAAATCATCTATGAAACTCACATAATAATTATGCCGCCCACAGAGGTAGGAGCCGGTCCCCAAACGTCTGAAAAAACAAGAGTTCAAATGGACTTGACGAAACACCGGATGACTTGGGATAGGGCAATCTGGTGACTTTTGCCCTTTTGACAAGCATCACACACTACATTATGACTAGACTCTTTAACAAAAGGTAACTTGTGACGGCTAAGAATTTGCTCGACAACATGAGATGAAGCATGACCTAGCCTATGGTGCCACAAGGATGCGAGGGTTTGAAGGCGCCTGAAAACTTCTTTATTCGGATGGGCTTCAAAGGGTAAAGCCCTCTCTCACATGGACCTCTAAGAAGCGTTTTCTTCATGGCCTGTTCCTTAATAAGAAAATGATCGGGGTGAAACTCAAGAAAGGCATGATTATCACGTGCAAGGCGATTAACGAGAGAGCAAATTCTTGCTAGAATGAGGAACATGAAGAATGTTGTTTAGATGTAGATTACGCATGGGGTTTGCGAACACTATGACCAACATGATTAATTGTCATACCCGAACCATCGGGCGGTATGAACTGATCGATGCCCGATATCGATCCCGCCTTTGTGAGCTTCTCGAGTTCACCGGTGATGTGGTCCGTGGCGCTGAATCCACATACCAATTTGTGTCTCGCCATAGGACATAGTGGTTGCGGAGGAGGCACTCTTTTGTGGAGGGCCGTGAACCGAGGCATCAAAGCGCTTATAACGCGATGCGCTGATGTCCCTCGATGCCGCAGATCCGGCGAAGACGCCATGCATGAAGTTGCGCCCACGCTTCGCCACGATCACGACCAAAGCATTGCGGCCGCCGCCATCACCATGCCGAGCCGCGCCATTGCGCCCACCACCGCCGCCGCGACCACCGCGGTGGTTGTTGTTGGAGTAGCCACCACCGCCACGGCCGCCCTTTGTGGCAAGGTTGACAGAGGAGTGAGAGCCGCCATCGCGGATCTCACGGCGCTGTTCATGGCTCACCAGTTGAGCCTGGAGGTCCTGGAGGGAGATCGGTTCGGCACGATTGGAGACGCTGCCCACAACCGAATCAAACTCCTCCCCAAGGCCCATAAGGATGTATGAGACGACTTCATCGTCGTCCGACTTCTTGCCGCCCGACGCCATCTCGTCGGCAAGACCCTCATCTTGGTAAAATACTCCGCCACCGTGGGCGAGCCTTTTTGGTCGCTGTGGCGAGCGCCATCTGGTGGACATGATCCGGCGCGCGGATCTGCGGCGCTGCGATGTGCTCGGATCGCGGCCAGAGATCACCATGGTGGTCGAGGTAGCCACCTGGGAGAAGACATCCTTGGACAGGGAGGAGAAGAGGTAGCTTCGGACTTGACTGTCTTTAGCGAACCACTCCTCGTGTTCCGGATTTGGTTCCGGTCCGTCTTCTTGCCGCAGGGTCGACGGGCGAGGAATTCCGGTGGAGGCTTGGAGGTGGACTTGGTGAAGCTCCACACCGCGCAGCACCTTGAAGGGTCGCAGTAACCTGGGCAAGCCACATAGTGTAGTTGCCGCGGGTGAGCTTCTCCGTCACGGGAGGAAGAAGACCGAAGGAGAACGGCACAGCGGCATCGGAGGAGGTCGCCATGGATCGATCTATCCGTGAGGAGTTTTTAGGCTGCGATACCATGTGAAAACTAGGAGGAACGAGATAGCCTTCCTTAGGCCTCTCGGTACATGTTATATACTGGCAGAAATAGCCCTCTGCATGGCGTTTACACAAGAGGTTGTTACAACAAACTCGAGTCATAGTTATCCTATTCTATGATTTACAATCCCGGCCTCAACAACCTGAGCCGGTGGTCACGGTACAAAGTACCTGAACTAATCCTATCATCTAACAAGCGTCTGCGCCTAGACGGAGAGAAAGGGTACCGGCCGCTGCCACACCATGTGGAGCCGTTCTCGGACTTGCTTGCGTTGGTGGGAGGAGACAAGCGTCCACGCCTGGAGAGGCGGGAGGTGGCGGGCGCCACCACACCGTGTGGAGCCATTCCCGGACTCGCCCGCGACGGTAGGAGGCGTGCACCACCTGGATGGAGGGAGGGGTGTGCCGGCCACCGCCACACCGCGCGGAGCCGTTCTCGGACTCGCCGCGACGGTGTGAGGCGCGCACCACCTGGATGGAGGGAGGGGTGTGCCAACCGCCGTCACACCACGCGGAGCCGTTCCCGGCCTCGCCCTCGATCGTGAAAGGTGCGCACCGGCAATCATCCACGCCTGGACGGAGGGTGGGGTGTCGGCCACCGCCACACCGCGTGGAGCCGTCTAGACTCGCCCGCCACGGTGGGAGGCGCGCACCGACAAGCGTCCATGCCTGGACGAAGGAGGGTGCCGGTCACCGCCACACCACGCGGAGCCATATTCGGACCCACCCGCGATGATGGGAGGTGTGCACCGGCAAGCATCCGCGCCAGCAAGGCGGGGCAAGCATCCGCACCAGCTTGAGTTTATTGCTTTCATTCCATGAAAAATTTATCATATTGGTGCAAGGTTCATCCTCAAGCAGTTCTTCGATATCAACACGTAGATGTCACATTGAATCTATAAGCTCATATATTAGAGTAAAAGTATTACACACGTTGATTAAAAATGGAATTTCTTACCCAAAAAGCACAAAGAAACTGTGTATATAGTGGAACAAACCTAAACCTAGAAATCTTGGCATATAGAAACCTCCAGGTGTTTGAGGCATTTTATCCAACATATTTCGTGAGCGACCAGAGTGCCGTTCCAGTATTGGGGCTTCAACTGCATTTGCAAAATAAGGGCATATTTAGAACACAGGAATTTCACATGAATCTTACAGGAATTTCACAGGAATCAATTCAATTTCATAAGAAAAACATAAGAACAGAATTTTTTTTCCTACATTCCAAACAGGACCCAAGAAAACGATGAGGAACGGGGGGACCGACAGACCATAGACTGCGGAAATTTTTCTCCCACGCAAGAATCGAGGGCAAGCACAGGGAAGCGGGGCACGACTTGGGCTCAAAGCCGATGCCGGACACATCTGCTGCAGGCTGCAGCTCCGGCGTGAGGACGATCTGACAACCCAGGCGTGCAAGAGGATACCTCACCATGTGGCAAAATATCTCGACGCCGATCACGTGCTCGGCGATGCAGGCCGCCCTGCTGGTGGCTGCGTCCTAGTAGCCCATATTGCCGTGATTGGCCAAATATTTGGGTGCCCCGGGGCAGATGTATCCCCCTTATAAACAGCCGTTGGATGCTTTTAAAGATTCACCGACAAACCCTCACCGCACGTCTTCGGTGAGAGCAACGATACTGTTCACAGCTCACTCCGGCGTCCCGCCTCCTCGTAAGCGGCGAGGGGGCACCGACCTCATGCGACATGTCCCTGATGCTGCGCCTTTTGATGCGCCCCACTACGCTGGTCGCCACCTACTTCAGCCTGGAAGAGTGGTTCAAGGATGCCGGCGCCACCACGACGCTCTTTGAGGTGGCACACGGCATGTCCCCTTGGAGTTTGACCAAGAATGATGCGCTGTACAACAAAACCTTAAACGACGGGTGTGCGGCGGACAGCAATTTGGCCATGGATACGCTCTTGAAAGACCCGGAGGTGCAGGTATAAGGTATATTCCGCTGGCTCAGTTCGCTCATTGACGTCAGCGGTGGCCACGGCGCCGCTGCGGCAGCCATTGCTAGGGCCTTTCCGCACATCCAGTGCAGCGTGTTAGACCTCGAACAGGTGGTCGGTCACGGTCAGCGAGGCACCTGCTGATGGCACGGTGAAATTCATCGCCGGTGACATGTTCGAGTCTATCCCGGCTGCAGATTGTGTTTTTACTTAAGGTACTCCTGTACTGTTCTGCATTACTACATACGTATACTACTAATACTGTTATCTAATGCCGCTGCCAATACTACTACATACTAATAATGTTATCTACCTGTCTATATATATGTATTTCAGTATGTTCTGCATTGTTGGGATGACGACAGCAGCGTCAAGATACTCCGACAGTGTAAGAGAGCAATCCCTACAAGAGACGCCGGAGGAAAAGTGGTAATCATGAATATGGTGGTCGGGTATGGTTCACCAGATATGTTTGTCAAAGAGACATGCGGATGATGCGATACGTTGGGGGTTGAGCGAGAGGAGCATGAATGGAAAAGGATTTTGTTAGAAGCTAGATTCAGTGATTACAGAATCACGCAGACATCATTGGGTTTCCAATCGGTCATCGAGGTTTTTCCATGAAGAAGCTTGGTCAGTGTCAGGAAAAATATATATCATTACTGATAAGTTATTAATAAGACACACATGATGATGCGTATGGCCACATATATATGGGCAAATATATTTTAAATGCATAAGAATGAGAAAGGATTAGCATCGTACTGCCGTTCGGCCTCTCACGAGTCAGCAAACCACATCCTGGCGACCCGTCGGCAGCTCGCAGGCCCAAGACCTCGGCTAGGAAGCAGGTCCGCAGCGTATATACTCTCAGTAGTAGTTACTTTCATAATCAATAAATCACGTTGCATATATGTACATACTCATTTATCAGTTTGAGTATGTTGACATACTCATATTAAGATACTCTAGATCTTTACTATGTGAAATTTTTTTAAAAGAACATATATTTTTTAATATGTTATTTAATACTATGACAGTAGTATATAAAACAAGTATAATCATATACTCTAAGTATACTTACATACTTTACCTACATAGTATCCTAGATGGTCTAGTATGATTATATACTCTATGTAAATACACTTCATCGGACCATATACGTCCTAAATCTAGAGATATACACATGGGAGTAACTACTCCCTGAGAGTAGGAAATATATATATATATATATATATATATATATATATATATATATATATATATATATATATATATATATATGAAATGAAAGGAGTGGGTCCCCTCAAAAAAATATATGAGGGGAGTGGGGAATTTGTAATCATCTTAACCCTGAAGCAACTACATTCTATCGTATTAACCGGCCTTCGGCCGGAACGCTACCTATATTCGCTCTTTTACTGTTTATCTTCTCCGACTCCGGTCGGTTAGCAGACACGAGTCACGAAGACGTGCGCCGTGGTTTTCTGCTGAGCTGCATGGCTACAAACATTTATCTGTATGCAACCAAGAATGAAACATGCTGAAGTTGGCATCACTTTTCTTATCAGATCTCTTACTACCTTCCGTTCCGCTCTTTGAAGTTCCATTTACATGCTGATGGAATAACTCAAGCTGGGACTGCCGTGGTTAAATATTGCTTTCCATAGCATCTGAAACTACCTCTTGTTACAGTTTTTTCGAACGTGCTGCTTTGTAGTAATAGCACTGTCGAGAGATATATATATATCTGTGGAGTCGGCAATTTGAAGCTCAGCACTTGCTGATGTCTCAGTGTTAAAATCCTTGTTTGAATTATCGCCGTTTCCCTTTTGGTTTCCCGGAACTTCCTCTGCCACTGGGTCTACATCCATGTCAATGGGCATTAGGTTCTCAGAGTTGTCTTCCGTTTCAACTATGAACTAGAAAACCATGGGCGCGGGCCGCGCCAGCTAGGGCTGTTCAGGAAGAAGCGGATGCGGGAGGGGTGGGATTGGGCTGTTTTCATCGGGCGTCGCGCGCCGGCCCCCGACGCACGCGCAGCTCCGTCGTCGCAAGCCCGGTCTCGCCGCACTGGAGCCAGCTGCCGCGCTGGAGCCCCCGTGGCGTCTGGAGCCCGCTGCCTCGCCACTGTCGGTGGCGGTGGACCCCGCGCGGGGTGGCTTGCGCGCGCGCCGCCGCTTGCCGGCGACCATGGACAGCCGCACCCCACGGGTTGGGAGCCGCCACGAGATCCCGCCTCGCCGCTGTCGCGAGGGGCCAGCACACCGTCGTGCGGCGTCGCGTCGCGCCACTCATCGGCGATCATGATTCAAGCCCGCTCTAGTGACCTGCAAGGGTGGAGTGGAGAGCGGGGTGGGGGCGGCGGTCCGGCGAAAGAGGCGGAGGGGAGAGGGGACAAGCGTCGCCCACGAAGCTTCGTGATGGCTCCGGTAAAGGGCTGGATTGAGGGTTGATTTCGGTAAGGTTCGAGGGCTTTTTTGAGAAAAAACCTGAGAGGAGGCCTGGACTACGGATTGATTCGACTAAAGTTCGAGGGTTTTTTTTGTAAAAAAACCGTGGCTCGCCCGATCTGGGCCGTCCGCGCGCCTGATCGAACGGCCGGGAAAAGCAGGCGACGTGGCACGCTGGCTGGCCAGCTTTTGGAGACAGGATTCATATGTAAAGATTGCAAGTCAAAAACATAGTCTCCTATCACTACTTCAACAAATTCAGGAATGATGTCAGGGTTAAGTATTGCTACCCTGATTGACTGATTCTCCCATATTTGTGTTCTTTTGTGATTTTCATATCCACATTGTGAGTCACCCGTAATATTGAGGCAACAGCCCAAGTTATGGGGAATTCCAGGAAGTCATCAAAAAATCCTTGGAATTGAACCCAAGTCTTTGGAATTTCATAAGCCTGTTGTGACCCTTTTACTGCAAAGACCATTTTAGCTTTAGTGCATTTAGTCCACGGCTCTCAACTGGTCCGTCACCGAGGCCGAGGCCAAGAGTTTGTTTGAAAGTTTATAAAAAAAAATGGCTTGGGCAAATTATTGGTGAAAGAGTTTTTTTTTTTTTGCTAATGTCTCTCTATCTCTTTGTGGAATTTTGTGTGTAAAGATCTCTCAAAAATATTTATTCTCTTTTATCCTCTAGTTGTTTTTTTTTCTAGAACAGACCGCCTGGACTTTTATTTTTTTCTCAAATTATTGGAAGGGAAGGAAAGAAAAGTTAAGGGCTCCTTTGGAACATAGGGTAGGAAAAGTATAGGAATAAGAAAAATATAAGGACTGTTTGGAACGCAGTAATTTCACAGGAATTTCACAGAAATCAATTCAATTTCACAGTTAAAACGCAGGAATAGAAAATTTTTCCTTTCTTCGGCCATAGGATTTGATGTGACAAGTTCCTCTAATCCTATAGGAATTCAATCCACGGGAAAATATCAGGAGACCCTTTGGCCACTCAGGTGAAATACAGGAATGTGTACTAACCGTTTGCATTGAAAGCAACAAGTTAGAGTGTTGATGTGCCTATATCTATATCTATATAAAACTTTAAATTTGTATCATTCCACTGTTCATCCGACGCTCCCCAAGGTTCATACCGGGCCCGCTATGAACAGTCGGGTCCGCGATGGCCAGTATCCAACCCAATAAGGAACAGTACAAACCCGATAAAAGGATAGTCCCAACCCGATAAGGAACAGTATAACCCGATACGTAACAGTGCATACCCGTTATGGAACAGTACACACCGTTCCGTCTTTTTCCCTTTTTCTTCTCGCCCTCCTTCACACGCGAAGCGTGGGGACTCACGCTGCATTTCACTGTTCATCCAGGGCTCCCCGAGACTCATATAACTGTATCTCAACAATATCAGGTACTGAACAGTGCCCACCCCAATAAGAAAACAGTACCACCCGATATGAAACAGTGTATGCCCGTTAAGGAACAGTACGCACCTGTTCCATCTTTTTCTCCGTTTTTTTTTCCGCCCTCCTTCCCACGCGAAGCGTGGGGACTCACGCTAGTATATATATACACACGCGCATGTACAAACTAGAACACATGTTCATCTCCAAAAACACAAGCGCATCTCAAAACACTTCAAGAGCTCTGACTAGATACTTCATACAGTGAAGTAGTGGTCAACTTTTTTTTCGCGATTACACAAAGATAATACAAACACTTGCGGAACAGGGGGCCAACAGGGCTGTGCTCAACCCCCCCCTCCAACAGTAGATTTTATTGAATACTTATATAAATATTTAAATGTATAGCACAAAAAATATCAATTTTCACTTATTTTTTTATTAAAATATTATGATTTTGGTTATAAAATAGTGTAAAAGTTTTAAAAAATATATTGAAACATATAATTATGTATATTTTATCACACTAAAAAATGCGATCATATTTGTCCGGCCTCTTAATCAAAATCGCTGGTTCCGCCTCTGGACACTTACAACACACGTACACTTACCCCTATAAATACACGCACGCAAACCCTACCCTTATGAGCATCTTTGAAGACTGGACCGGTAAATCCTCGAGATTGATGAAATCACCACGACCATCTTGTTGTCGACGGAAATGTCGCATACCACTCAAAGCACAACGCCTTTAAATCCTAAAAAATTCGCTCCCACGAGAATCAAACCTAAGACCTGATGTGCCACTGAGGCTCTTGTAACACTAGGCCGCAAACCATTTCGCGTAGTGGTTAACTGTTGTGTCTACAGTGTATTCAAATGTGTTCCTCTGTTTCTTTACGAGGCATATTGGGATTCAGAAAAAATATCTTTAGAACTACAATGGAGACGTCCGTTACTCCTACAATATGATAAAAATCAGTTCGTATTAAAATACGTATGGAAGTTGAATTTTACTGATATTTTTTACATATCATCAACCATAAAAAGGCCATACACCCACAAACTTACCCTTCTCAAACGCTATTGTACGCAAAGCATGAGTGCATGACCCGCTTGCATACAGGCACAGCGGAGCTCGAGTTTAGGGCACGCTTTTCATTTGTAGATACTACTAGAGGTGAGACGCACAGTGGCAGCCACTTCGCCCGCTGGCATCCACAAAAGTGGCCTGGCCAGTGGCCACGTCCACTTGCAGTCTGTTCGGGAGGCCATATCATATCGTGGATTATTTATTGCTGACTAATTTGGTGTAAGAGAAAAATACTATTTCCGGCTAGAAATTTACGATCATTTACGAACAAACGAAATGGCTGTTGATCGGCTGACCGGACCAGACCTTTCCCGATGTGGCTCCCTCCAACTGGCGCCCCAAGTTGCCGAAAAGGAATTGTTCTTTCGCTCTCCCGTCGCCTGTTGCGTGGTGTTGCTGTTGAGTGCAGCGGCAGATCTGCTGCACACTTGAGAAAGATCGATTCATCTAGGGACTAGTAGCAGATAACCCAGATCTCCCAAAGAAATACTAATCCCAAGTTGCCGGTCGCCTTTTCGATTTGCTTCCCCTGTCGCCGCCG